TTCTGATTCATGTTTTTACCCTTTGGGAATGTGAGAGACCACTTTTAAATTTGATTTAAACACTTTCAAAAGTAGGACTACATCAGAAGAGGAAGGTGTGTGTTTTTTTTTTTTTGGCAAAACTATAGTAAAGCCAATTAATTTAATTGAAGGTTAAGCTGGAAAAGGGGTAGGAACTATATTCTCTTAACTTTGGGAATAAATCTGTATCTCTTCTAACTCATACCATGGTGTACAGCCTGTTTTTTAAAAAAATAGCTGCAGAGGGACCTTTCAGAATCTGCATTATAATAAATGTCATTACTACTGAGTAGGCTCTCCCAGGGAAACCAGTTTTATGGCCTCTAAATGATGGTCATCACAATGTAGTGCAGATGGAGTGGTATTGTGCCAAAAACAGAAGAATGGATTAAAATTGAGTTTCCAGGCAAGTCAGACCGAAGGGAGTTGACCAAAGCTTGTTGCTGCTTATCTGAAAGGCGTAGTTAGAAATTAAAATTCTAAAACAAAATACTTCTTTAAAGCTTTAACATCTGTTTAACACACACTCTAATTCCTTAGAGTTTTATGTCTGAAATTTTCAACAACCTGTTTTTTTTCCCACTGACTGTGATTTGTGATTGTAACATTTTAAATGTGTGAAATCCTCAGGGATGTTGTGTAATTCTAATCCAAGTTAACTCCTAGAGGCAGAGCAAGACATCCAGTATCAAATGGTGACATGGAACATTTCGGTTTCTGCCAAATAGCCCCTGCAGTGAGCAGTTTGGGGGACAAAACAGGAGAGAGGTTATTTTTCTCCCTACAAAGATTGATATCTGTATATGAAGCCCTACCCTATTTAAGCATTAGATTGGAGGTTGTGTTGTTCAGGGCCTTTTCAATGGTGGCTCTGGGAATTTATACCGCTCCAGATGTGAGGAATGCTCCCATGCTGGTTACTCTTAGTTGCTCTTCAGGATTCATTACTTTCAAACTTGGTATCCTTCCTGGTTGCCTATCTAGATTGGGCTAGGGAAAGGCAGTCCCAGGCTGGTTTTCCACATTGCTGTAAGCCATGTTTTATGTGCCAAGGGTTAATCAGTAATCCAGCATTGATGGCTTTATATCACACAGTCAGCCAAATGCTAAAGAAACCACATTTTGGGTTAGTGTGTTGTGTGAACCCTGTCTCAGAAGATAATGCTGGTCTGCGGCATTCATGATTCCCCAGGGTTGGCACTTCCCCTCAGTGCATTTTAACATCTATGTAAATCCGCTGGAAGAACTTAACTATCAATTTGTGCACAGTTTACTGCCATAACTGCAGTGACTTTAAAAGTGTTACCTGTTTCAACTGGCTTTTATTGGAGAAGTGCTGCTCTATTGATGTTTTAGTCCTGTGGGATTGCTAGGAGTGTATTCAGTTGACTGAAATAGATTTTAATGCATTTTATATTACATAAAGGTTTAAAATCGCTATCGCATTTTTATTTTTACACTAGTTCTATTGCTGTCCTGTGCAGCCTTCAGGCAAGTGGCTTATAAATAAATAAAATAAGATGTCCATTTACTTATCTCTTTTGCTATTTGTTGAAAGTAAATCACACTGTCATATTGAATTTAGCATTGGGCAAAACTGATTGCAGAGCAGTTCAGCATCCTGTGGGTGCTGGCTGATTTACACAAAGACGTACATAACCAAAGTGCTCTGTAGCACTTGAGAAGGAGATTTGGTAGGATTGCTGGTTTTTCCCCAGCTTTTAAAGGAACGATGAATCCGAATTACTTGTGGTGCTGTTGTGTTCCACATACATCAAGACTGAACGGCTCACAGGTTGATCATTATCCTGAATTCTTTTGATGGTCCTCAGAGCCCACCAGAACCACGTTTCTGAAATGCAGCCACATATCCTTGAATCTCAAAAGTGATATCTGGTTTCAAGCAAAAGAAATCATGTGTATGATTTCTCGTGAAGCTATGTATTGTATACAAATAGGTGTAACCAGAAGAAGAAAGGGGGGATATCCCCCCATAAATGGGGAAACTTGTAAGAATTCTGCCCCACCCGTGCTATGATCACCTCAGCTGCTGCCAGTTTCCGGTCTACAAAAATATTAGGAAAAAATGCCTCCCAACTACTGTCCTGATCCATGCCAAGCACGCACACACAGAGTAAAGGGGTCAGGAGTTTGTTGAACGTTACAGAGGTTTTACAAGCAGCAGCAGGTAGCACAACTGTGTGTGAAGTTGCACGTACGCTTTGGCACAGTTTACAAGAACAAGGAAGCTCACCTGCAAAGAATCCAAATCCAAGTCAGCAAACAGTATCATAGCCACGTCATGGTGTGAGTATTTCTTGAAGTGTGATCTGAGCACCCCTCGGGTCCCCCAAGACCCTCTCAGGAGTCCGCGAAATCAAAATTATTTGCCAAATATTGAAGATATTTGCAAAAATTTAAAACAATGACACTTTTCTCATTATGTTTGTTTAAAAAATAGGGTTTTTAATGAAAAATATTTATGTTAATGATTATTTTTACACGATTCAAGAAATAAATATTCTATGAATGTGTCAATTTTAATTTTTAATATGGTAAATATTGATAAATATAATCCATACGAACAAAAGCTCTTTGGGGTCCTCCATAATCTTCAAAAGTGGGAAGGGATCCTGAGAGCAAAGAAACGCTGTTCTAGGCAGTCGTGGGAAGGTTGTCAGCCAGTTTGGGATCAGGGACAGAGTTGCAGGATACATGGGTTTCAAGACTTCAGACACACCAAGGACTGATTGTCCCCAAAAGGTTTGCCAGTTGGCAGTTACCCATTGTAAGCCCATTGCCAGGTGGGAACCAATTAAGGGCAGTACTGCCCTTGCTTGGTGATGAGGCATGTCAAATGCCTCTGTTCTGCTCTCCAAAGTGAGTGGCGTATCCTCAAACTAGGTGCTTGCCCAGGATCTGGATCCTCATTATCTGACTGCAGGTATAATTGCTTCCAGTTGTTGCCAGCAGAGTCAGTCTCACGTGCTTGATGGTTGCTGATTCCTGAGCCTGGCTTCAGCCAGCACATCCAGAGAATTCAGAGTGGGCATGACAGCCGCCTTCATGTTGCTCACCCTTGTATGTATGAATGGTTCAGTAAACTACATCAGCCATAGGCAAAATCAGGCCCTTCATTGCACTGGAGATAGGGTGCCCTGTGCCTCTTTATTTTTATTACTAAAATTGTTGGGCTGCCCCATACTGAAAACAATCAAAGAGGCATACAATGGAAATAAGTACAATGGAAACAAAAAAATAACAACAAAGCAGAGAGCTAAAACAGTAGTTAACAAACATTGGAAGGTGAGATAAATTATTTGAAACACATCTTATATGAGAAATACAAGGAAATTAAAACCTCTAGATGGATGTCTGGATGCAATTCCCAGAATTTCCCAGCCAGCATTGCCATTGCTTAGAATTCTTGGTGTGTTAATTTTGAGGAGATTGGGGAGAGGTTGCTCTGTTCCATAACTGGCAGTGGGTAGAGAGTACCCCTGAGAAGGCCTATTCTCTGAAGCTTCTTCCTTCCCTGCTATAATTTCAACAGGAGATGATTATGCCATGGTTCCTGAAACTCAAGGTCAAGCAAAGCAGAAACAGCCAACCTTTTGGTATTCAACAAACTCACCAACCATTTTGGAGTAGAGCCACAGAGCAGATGGGGGCTTATCACATATGTGAACAAGGCTGGGTTGGGGGCAATATTTTGTGTGTGTGTGTGTGTTTTAATCAGTGACGTGCATACTGTAGGGCTTATTCACCATTTACATCTGTCTCCCACCTCAGATTGATGAAACTGGGACCTCCATTTTTCAGAACTTGGGCTCAGAATGAAGGTCCTTAGGGCTGCTACTTTTCTAATTCAGAGGAAGGGGTCATAGCCTTTTGGTATAATTAAGACAACTGAGAGCAATTGGTAAAACTTATTATCTAGGATATATTTAGTCAGGAGAAATTATGTTTCTACCATGGGAGTTGTTGAGAGTCAGGCGGCATACAAGTTTAAATTGTTGTTGTTGTTGTTGTTGTAATGTGTTATTGCCTGGAAGCAGTTTAATGAGAAAGGGATAATTGCTCCATGCACCGGACTATGCTTTAAGTGACAATTGTGTGGAATACTTTATGGATGAAGTAATTGTTTTCTTGATGGCCTTCTGGAAGGCCTTAGACCAGGTTGATCTCCAGCTTGGGCTAGGGTGGGTAGAGCCTCTTTTGGGATGTTTTTTGTGCATTGTTGGCCGGACCACCATCTTCTTCATTTTTTGTTTTGTTCTTATTTTTCTTGTTCTTTGTTTATTTTGTTTTTTATTATTCATGTTGTGTTTTATTGTTCTTATGTTGTGAGCCACCCAGAGTTATCTGGAGTCAGGCAATACCAAAATTGAATAAATTAAATTAAATTAATTGTTGAATTTCATTTCTACTTTGGGCACATGTTTTGTAGAAATATACGGATATTCCTCTTCCTCCTAGCCAATTTTGGGGGAAGAATTTCATTTTCCATCTGACAATATAGGCAAGGTTTCTGGTAATGTTCACCCTGATGTGTCTTTTGATACCAGGTCTATCTTGGCTAATATCTGGCCTGTCAAGAAAGTCGATTGAGTTCTGTCCTAGAAATTTTTGGGTTGAAACACTTTGAACAGCTTCCGGTGACTCTAGAAATATATACTATGCGGGCTAGATCTTTTTTACTTTGTGCCTCCCAGTCTCGTCATCACTTTAATGAGCACATTCTCAATTGAGTTTGAGATGAAGGCTGATTTTTATGAAAAGGCAGCGGGAAACCATTGCGTCTGGGCAGACAGGCCTCACACCGTTACGGTGTTATGCCTGATCACCCTAGTCTTATCCCAGTGAGTAGTCAGTAGCAAAATATCACAATTACAGATAATTCAGAGAAAATATTTATACTTCATAAATAAAGCATTTTAGCATGTCTTGCATAATGGGTTGTGTCTTGTGCTTTTTAGACTATGAACATAGTGGTTCCCTTCATGTTTAAATATGCAGTAGACAACCTCAACCAGCTGTCTGGAAATGTTCTGAACCTGAGTGATGCACCAAATACAGTTGCAACCATGGCAACAGCTGTTCTGATTGGATGTAAGTGTGATTCTTCAGTCTGTTGACAGGTGCTGACTTTCTTCGGGAAGGTTTGGGAACATTAGTGCACATGACCTTTCACGGGGAAGCATCTGGGGTGAACATTGTTCTGTGGAGTTTCTCCTACTTTGTTATCATCAGGAATGAACATATTGCGATTCTTTTGAGTTGTGTTATCTGCTGTAATAATAGCCTAGTCTCCAGGCCTGCTTTTGTTTTGGGCTTTTTAAACCCCAAATATCTGAAGATGAAATCTGCTTAAAAATGACTTGACTGATAACATTTGAATATGTGGTATAAAAAGCTACTGAGGATGAGTAAAACAAGCATCTCTTAAAAATTAAAGGAACGTTTTTCTCCCCCTCCCCTCCCCATTTTACCAGACGGCATCTCACGAGCGGGTGCTGCTTTATTTAATGAAGCCAGAAATGCCGTCTTTGGAAAAGTAGCCCAAAGTTCCATCAGGAGGATAGCAAGAAACGTCTTCCTCCACCTGCATAACCTGGACTTGGGCTTCCATCTGAGTCGGCAAACCGGAGCATTGTCCAAAGCCATTGATCGAGGAACCCGAGGCATCAGCTTTGTGCTCAGTGCACTAGTGTTTAATCTGGGCCCTACCTTGTTTGAAGTGGCACTCGTGAGTGGAATTTTGGTATGTGCGGTTTTAATAAAATTTCAGAGCTAATCATTTTATTGATATAATTATCTAGTGGCTATCTTATGTCCCTAGTGCTAGATGTGGCCCACTCCTTTGTCTTTCTCAGCATCCTGTTGAAAAGAGGAAGAAGAAGGGGTCGCAAGGAGAGAGGAAGGCTGTGGTATCCATTTTCTACTGCAGTCCCACCTGCCACTTGCTTCAGCTTCACCCCCATTAGCATACAGGGCAACTCCTGGTGCCTGTCATTCGTATGGAAATACAGGCAAAGAAAGGTGGCCCATCCCCACTGGATGCCCATGGCTGTTGCTCTGTAAATGGTAGCATCCACTGAACTTACCATCTGAATGTGATGCTGGCTCAATAGGCTGGTATGGTAAGCAAGCTAATTGGTTGAATACCGACAGCGGAACTTAATTTGATTCCAAAAGAAGTACCAGATCTCTGTTTCAAAACATCTCTTTAGTTGTGGATCTGCTTCTACATTTATTTTTAAAAGGGTATTTTCTACAACTGAGACGCCCGTGAGCTCCGTTGGTATCAGGCTCATGCAAAATATTTGAAAGGGGCATTTGGCAAAGCAAAAGTTCTGTCCAACAGACATGGCCATGCAGAAACAGCTGGAGAAAGCCTTTAGGGCAACCATGCTGAGCCTTACAGAAGAGACAGTTGTTTTTAATGCTTGGAGGATAAGTGCTTTGCTTGCCCTGTTGTGTTTCGCAAAAGGCTCCTTTCTAATGCTTTGCACAGCCTTCTTCCATACATTACAAAATGCTCCATGTTTACTGTACAGTGGCTGGAAGATCCTAACAGGTAGAATATCTCCACGCTTCTCAAAAAAAAAAAACACCCATTGTTGATAGCTTCTACTTTTTAGTAGTGCAGCACATGAGTGTAAGCTAAGAGGGAGAAAAGCTCACACCGATCATTGCCAAGAAGGCTAGCTGTCAGTATGGTCATAATGGTCCAGATGCTACTTTTCTATTCCATGCTTTCCATCTGGCGTTCCCAATATTTTACAGCATTTGAACCAGGTTGAAGTTTAAGAGCACATGCATAATCCTTCTCCTGCTTCAAATCAGCCATGCTTTCAAGCAAAAGATCCCCAAGTTCTGTGCCCAATCTCAAACAGGAATGTAAGGACAGGGTATGAAATCCATCCCAAAGTCAAACACTGTATTCTTTTGAGTTAATAGCAACAGAATTAGTATCTTTCATTTGAATGGGTGGGGTTTGCATTGTAAAAAGTAAACACACTCTTTTCTAGTTGGAGCTTAAAGTGGGAATCTCTCACAGCTGTTTCCCCAGAAGGCAAATGCCAAGAACCCACAAATGGTAGAAAGTATCAGTTTAAGATGCCCTGTGTTTGTTTCCTTACATTACTGCTTAGGGTAAAAAGCCATTCCTTGTCCCCAGAAGCTATCATCCATCAATGTTGAGGTCATGCCAGGTTGGACCATCCTCAAAACTTTCAGCAGAATAGCAAATACTGCTTTGGAAAATTAGTAAGGTTACAGCATGAGAATCTGGGACTCACTTCTGTGGGCATAAAATATAATCACATGATTGGGCCTTGTGTAGAGTTGGATTCATTGCAGCTTATTTCCTGACAAATCTGGTAATCTGCCCATCTCTTCCTTGAGTCAGAACTCCAGGATTCCATTAAATATTTCCATTCATTTCAAGTTGAGAACACATCTCTTGTATATAAAGATTCTTTCCCCTTCTCCATGGTAAATGCAGCAGCTCAAATGCATAAGTTGGGTGTTTGTATCTAGAGTCTGCGCCCTTGTAGAGCTGCTCCTAGTGTATCTGGTGTCAAGGAGCTAAACTGCCTTTACTGTAATCTTTCTCCTGCACTTCTGTTTGGCTTGTAGAGAATAATTCCTCTTGTTATGTATGTCTTGTCCAGAGAGTTGTGTTTATACTGATGTTATAACCAAAATGATAGGAATCCTTTCCCCCCCCCCCCTTTCCCTGCAGTATTATAAATGTGGTGCACACTTTGCACTCGTAACCTTGGGGACCTTAGGAGCATACGCAATGTTCACCATAGGAATTACACAGTGGAGGTAAGACATTTCTCCTCTGAGGACTTTGATGAGATTTGAGTGACTGGTGGAACTGGATGGGAAAAACACTCTCTGCCAACCTTTTGTCTTGCAGAACTAAATTTAGGATTGAAATGAATAAAGCAGATAATGATGCAGGTAATGCTGCAATTGACTCTCTGCTGAATTATGAAACTGTGAAGGTAAGCCATTAACATTTTTAACTTTTCATATTGTCATTACTCGGATAGACCTTATTATCAATTAATGTCTTTTTCACCCTTTATTCAAAAAGAACATTTATTTGTTCCTTTCTGTTAGAAGTAATGACTGGAAGGATTAATCTTAGCCTAAGTAGGCAAAAGAATTTTCACATACTTTGGCCATAATCTGTTGATTACCTGTATTTAACATAAGAGTGCTGCTTCTCCTTTCATACTTTCCCTCTTGATTTGCTTCTTAAAGGAGCCAGGTGTTTTTTTCAGTGAAAAGTTTGCTTAAGCGTGTTTGACCAGCTATATAGCAGTTTATTAGTCCCTGCTTAACTGATAGCAAAAATGCAAGCTCCGAGCCCAAGCTTTGGTGGGCAAAACATTTTAAGATGTTAGCTGATGTGAATGGCATGGTTTTCTGTGGTACGATAAAGTTAAGGTTAATTTAGATTTTAAAAATCACTATGTCAGAAGTGCCATATTGAGAACATGGAATAGATATAAACCCAGACTGTGCCCAAAAATGCCTTTAGGGGTTTCAGCACAAGAAGCATTTTATAGGAAAGTAACAGCAGGTAAAGAGAAATGGTTAACCTGTGGAGAGTTGTTAGGACAACATGGAGAAAATATAAGATGAAATCAAAAGAACAGTTGGCTGCAGGAGGATTTAGTTTGCAACGGTTTTTATATCCACAACTAAAAGAAAGATTCAAGATAGATAACAGGACATTTGGAATTGAGCAACAAAAGACAATTTGAAGTTGAATTATGTATAAATGTTGAACATATAATTGCCAAAATGTATGAACTCTTGCTGAAATTTGAACTGTGCTGAAATTTGAAATGGAGGATGAACAAGTGAAAGAGTGTACGATAAAATGAGCTAAGAACTGTGGACACAATATACTGATGGAACAGTAGGAAAATATGTGGTTAATTTACATTAAACGTTAAAAGAGAATTTCTGTAACATGATGTACCATTGGTGTATGACTCCAGAACAATTAGCCAGAATGTATAAGGGTATTTCAAATTTATGTTGAAAATGTGGGCAACACAAAGGGTCATTTTGGGCATGCCTGGTGGACTTGTAAAAAAGGCCAGAAAACTTTGGGTTCAAATACATACAGTGGGGCAAAAAAGTATTTAGTCAGCCACCAATTGTGCAAGTTCTCC